TGGGGCGGGGACCCTGACAGGCCCTACCGCATCCCGGGACCCTCAGTCCCCTGGGCACAGGGCCGTTCACTGTGCCCCAGCCCCGAGCATCTGCCACGCCACTTGCCAGGTGGCCCAAAACAAAATAAAAAGGGCATGTTTGGCCCAGCACCCCACGGGGTGCCCAGGGCCATCACTGTGGGTTGCAGTGAGGCTCGGAGAGCAGCGCTGGCCAAGGACGAGTGGGACCCCCCCCGGACTTACCGCATCCAAGGCAAACAAGCAGGAGGGGCCCCAGCACTCCCCCATAGCGCTGCCTTTGTTCCCTGTTTGCTCTTGGCAGGGGGCAGCCGCTGGGGCGTCAGTGCCAGGACAATCCCCCATTGTCCTTGGTGCCACTGCACGACCTTGCTCCCAGTGTGGAAGGGAGGGCACTGCTGGCCAGGACCCCACAGCTTTCTTGTCCTTTGAGGGAGGAGATGAGCACTGTGGGATCCGTGGAGGGAGCGTGGGTTTGGGAACGCTTCCCACGGATGCCTTTTTGGCATTCAAGGCACAAATGCTATGCCCAGGCAGCTGCCATGCCTGGGACAGTGGGGTGCTGGAACCCACATCTTGGAGAAGGAGAGCAGCCTCCCTGTGCAGCAGTGTTGCACAGCCAGGGTAGCAGGTTATCGCAGCTTAGCTGGAGCCAAACTGATGATTCAGAGCCAGATGCCGGTGGATGCAAACCCACCTGGCTGCCCATCCCCAAACCAGGAAGGAGAGTGGCTGGCTGAGCACCCCCAAACCCAGCCCATCAGCAACTGGAGCTAAATGTCCTGCACGTTAGAGCCCCAACGTGCAGAAGGAGCCGATGCCCACGGCCCCATTGCTGAAAAAAAATCCAGCATTTAGGCAATCCGAGCAGCATGCTGGCACGTGCCCTCGCTTTCCCTATCCACACACAGGTACACGTGCCCTCTTGCCAAATACCTGTCCTGGAGGACTCAAGCTATTACACAAGCGCTGACGTTCGGGGAACTAACACGGCTCCTCTCCATAAGCACATCTGCCCACGTAACAGGGCTGCTGCAGCCCGCGCTGCCAGGAGAGGGAACAAGTGCACCCCAGCATGCCTCCTGGAAGGCAGGGGTGCTCGGGGTGTGTGCTGACTCCTCCTGCGCTGCCCCAAGGCCAGGCCACATTGCTGGGTCTCCACTGGGGTTTGTCTCTGTGGAGGTGCTGGGTTTCCCTCTGTCTTCCATGGCAAAGGAAAAATGCAGGCAGCTGACGGTGCCGGTGCCCACAGCTGGGCTGTGCTGGCGGTGGGGAGCCCATTAGCAGCTTGTTTGCTGGGTCCCACCGGCGTTATGCTACATCGCCTTCTATTGCCGTCTGGTTTTGCACAGGTCAGCACAGCTGGCTCGCCTCAGCTCCCCGTCTGCTGCACACCCAGGGGCTGCCTTGCAGCACCGGTGCCCCATGCTGTTGTCACCCCTTGTCACTGGGCATTCTTGGGTGTGATCCTGCCCAGCTGCTTAAAGAGCTCTCAGAGAAGCTGCTGGGTGTGGGTCACCAGCAGCGCAATGAATGATTTCTGGGTTTTCCTCCAGCCTGCTTCCCTCCTGCCACTGGGCACCTTCCTCCCCCTGCGCTTGCCTGCTCCTGAGCTGCAGGCTCTGAGCACTCCCCATCCCACCTCACCTCTCTTCTCCCTAGGTTTGCTCGAGTGCTGTGCTAGATGTCTCATCGGGGCACCCTTTGCCTCGCTGGTTGCCACTGGCTTGTGCTTCTTTGGGGTAGCGCTGTTTTGTGGCTGTGGGCACGAAGCCCTCACAGGCACCGAGCAGCTAATTGAGACCTACTTCTCCAAAAACTACCAGGACTACGAGTATCTCATTGACGTGTAAGTACCCTGCTGCAGTCATTGCCCTCGCGCTGGGACCCCTCGTGTCTCCATCTCGCTCTGTGCCAGGAGGAGGTGTCCGGCCAGGCTGGCTGGGGCGATGCTGTCACCTGGGCACTGTGGAGACCTCAGGCTGCATTTGACGTGTGCCGGTGCCACAGCTGCACGGCAGGGTCCAGTGGCCACTTGTTTCCATTTCACGCCTGTTTTTATCTGACCATCGCTAGGTGCCCTGGCTAGTGCTGGACCTCTGCACTGGGCTGTGCCAGGAGGAGGTGTCCGGCCAGGCTGGCTGGGGCGATGCTGTCACCTGGGCACTGTGGAGACCTCAGGCTGCATTTGACGTGTGCCGGTGCCACAGCTGCACGGCAGGGTCCAGTGGCCACTTGTTTCCATTTCACGCCTGTTTTTATCTGACCATCGCTAGGTGCCCTGGCTAGTGCTGGACCTCTGCACTGGGTAGGTATGGAGGGCATGGGGGAGCCGGCAGCAGCCCACGGCCTTGTTTACCATGGCTTTGCCCCTGCTCACGCCTCTTGTGGCTTTGCCCTCTGTTTCGGTCCCCCCCGGGGTGGCACAGGGAGGGTAAGTCTCTGGAGCCAGGCTGCCCTGGCCATGCCACGTGCAGGGCTGAGCTCCCCAGCACCACCCCGGCACCTAAGCATCCTCGCCTGCTCCTCTCCCCGGCAGCATCCACGCTTTTCAGTACGCCATCTATGGCACGGCCTCCTTCTTCTTCCTCTACGGAGCCCTGCTGCTGGCCGAAGGCTTCTATACCACCGGCGCCGTCCGGCAAATCTTCGGGGACTACAGGACCACCATCTGCGGCAAGGGCCTCAGCGCAACGGTAACTGGGGGCCCGAAAGGGAGGGGAGCGCGAGGCCCCCAGCGAGCTCACTCATTGCAGCGGGTGTGTCAGTGTTTGGGAAAGTGGCTAGGACATCCTGACAAGGTGATCTTAACTGGGGTTTGGCACCCCTTCGCGCGCCCGCAGCGGGTTTGCCACGCTCGGCGTGGCTGAAGGGCAGGAGACTGTGGCCGTCCGGGTTTCGGGGTATCCCAAAGGGAAGCGCAGCCCATCTGACCTCCCCCAGGCCTGCCGCAGCCCCTGGGGACCGCAGAAGCTCAAATGGCCAGATTTAACAAAACCGCTTCATGTTTAAGCACGGTCAGGGAGAGCCATGAGCATTCTCATGGTGCCGGCCGCCCAAAGCTCGCTGTCACCCAGTGCCCCTGGGGTTGTCCTCTCCGTCGTGCGTGGGGACCGTGACAAAGTGCTGGCAAGGAGAGCCTGTAGCCTGGGGGAGCGGAGGGGGGCGGCTGCGGTTCCCTCGGGGGCTGGTTGGGGTGGCACCGTGGAGGGGTGGCA